GATAAAAAAGAAATGTCACATTTTTTTTTTTTGGTCCAATCAAGACACACGACTCTATAGTTCTCGAAATTGTTGAGAAAAAAAATATTTTTAATAATAATAATAATAATAATAATAATAATAATAATAATAATAATAATAATAATGATTTTAAAAAAATATTTTTAATAAATAATAATAATAATAATGATTTTAAAAAAATATTTTTTAATAAAGTCCGAAGAGCGAATAAATTAATTAATTTTTTTTATAGTACAATAAATAAAATTTTATTCCCTAAAATTGAATATACTTTTGAGCGGAACATTAAACTGAGTTTTATATATATAGAGAGAGAAAATCCGAGAAGAACATTATTAAATTGTAAGAGCTTGGTGGGTTTTAACATATCTATTCGCGATGTAAGCACTTCGATATACCAGGATGTTGGACATTATGAAAGTACGTTTTAACGTTGTAGTTGAAATTTTCCCGATGAAATATATATATATATATATATATATATGTATCGTGGTTGCTCGGACGTGAAATCGTTTAGATTCGTTCCTCCTCTCCCGCATCATAGAAAATAAATTATTGTATATAGTTTTTTTTTGCCTTTTTTTGAAAATAACTACAAAATTCATCCCTGATTATATAATTTTTTTTTTCTAATTTGCACGTTTTATTTTTAATTGCACTTTATTATTATTTTCCATTCATTAAGATCTCGATTTTATACAAGAATTAAAAAAAAAGAAAGAAAATAAACCGAATTTTATTTGTATTATGGCAATAGCCTAGTGGGTAGCGTGCTGGATTTACAAGACAGTGTTAAGTGTTCGAATCCTCGCGGTGGATAGATTTTTTTCTACAGTAAAAATTATTTGAATAACATTTAGTATTTAATAACAATAATTTATTATAATTATATTATATATTATTATAATTATAATTGAATACTAATTATAGTTATAATTATAATTATAATTGAATACTAATTATAGTTATAATTATAATTATAATTGAATAATAATTATTAGAGTATCTTTAATAATAATTTAATAATAATATTTATTATCAATTTCAAATTATCAAATAAGTGATACAGTTAAATGAATTAAAAAATTAAAATTAATTCTAAAAATAATTGACAAAAAAATTTTTCTAAAAGCAATAATTTTCTCAAATTTATAATACTTATAAAATCATTTGGAAAAATTCGTAAAGAAAACTATATGATTTTCTGCATAAGATGCGTTTATGCTCTATAAAAAAAGGCATACCTACTTTTTTTTCCACATTCATTATTTTATATATAAACAATACCATTGAGATACTTCCTTTCAAGACATAATGTAACTAGTTTAATGACTTTATGTAAATTTTCAAGTTTTCATCCGGGAATTAAATTAGTCAGAAAATTACTAATAAAAAACAAGAAAAAAATTGAATTTCTCATATTCAATTGCAATATAACAAAATTATTATATTTAATTCATTTCTCGCGATGTCAATTAAATTTTCATTATATCGGAGATAATTTATATATATATAGAATTTTAAAACTTAATTATCTCGCGAGGGCGATGAAAGAAATGTTTTCACCGATGATAATTATAGTATCATACGTCACATTCTTTCATCCCCCTCCGAGAGTTTATTTTATATATATATATATATATATATATATATATATATATACACGCATATTTGAGGTAAAAGTACAACAGCTGTTGTGTATACGTGATATTTTATTTTAAACTCAAGGGTAGTGTATATGTCTATATATATATATATATATATATGCGAAAGGGCTTCCTATGACAGCTGCGCAATGTATTTTATATTACAGATGGTTTACACCTGCTGATAAAATATATTTTCCGCGTATTTTGGCATTTTCCAAAAAAAAAAATAAATTTCCATTTCACTGAACCAAATTTTTTTACCCAATTCGCTATTGACCGAATTTTTATTTAACCAAATTTACTTTTGACCGAATTTTCATTTAACTAGATTTGCTTTTCAACGAATTTGTATATTTAACCGAATTAGAATTTGACCGAAATTTTATTTAGCCGAAATTATGTATTACCAAATTATTATTGAACCTAATTTGTATTTAACCAAATAAGCTTTTCACCAAATTTTCATTTAGCCGAATTTATATTTTACCGAATTTTTATTTAATCAAATTTACTAATGACTGAATTATTATTTCACCTCATTTTTATTTAGCCGAAATTATATTTTGTATAATTATTATTTAACAGAATTTACTATTGACCGAATTATTATTTAACGTAATTTTTATTTAACCAGATTCGCTGTTGGTCGAATTATTATTTAACCGAATTTGCCTTTATCCGAATTTGTATTTAACTAAAGTAGGTGTTAGCCGAATTTTCATTTAACCAAATTTGCTTTTGACCGAATTTCTATTTAACCAAATTCGCTATTGCTCGAATTATTATTTAACAAAATTTACTATTGACCGAATTATTATTGAACCTAATTTTTATTTAACCAGATTCGCTGTTGGTCGAATTATTATTTAACCGAATTTGCCTTTATCCGAATTTGTATTTAACTAAAGTAGGTGTTAGCCGAATTTTCATTTAACCGAATTGGCTTTTGACCGAATTTATGTTTCGCCGAATTTCTATTTAATCAAATTCGCTGTTGCTCGAATTATTATTTAACCGAATTTATTATTGACCGTATTATTATTTAACCCAATTTTTATTTAACCAGATTCGCTGTTGGTTGAATTATTATTTAACCGAATTTGCCTTTATTTGAATTTGTATTTAACTAAAGTAGGTTTTAGCCGAATTTTCATTTAACAAAATTTGCTTTTGACCGAATTTATGTTTCGCCGAATTTCTATTTAACCAAATTCGCTGTTGCTCGAATTATTATTTAACCAAATTTACTATTGACCGAATAATTATTTAACCAGATTTGCTGTTGGTCGAATTATTATTTAACCGAATTTGCCTTTATCCGAATTTGTATTTAACTAAAGTAGGTGTTAGCCGAATTTTCATTTAACCAAATTTGCTTTTGACCGAATTTATGTTTCGCCGAATTTCTATTTAACCAAATTCGCTGTTGCTCGAATTATTATTTAACCAAATTTACTATTGACCGAATAATTATTTAACCTAATTTTCATTTAACCAGATTTGCTGTTGGTCGAATTATTATTTAACCGAATTTGCCTTTATCCGAATTTGTATTTAACTAAAGTATGTGTTAGCCGAATTTTCATTTAACCAAATTTTCCTTTGACCGAATTTTCATTTAACCGAATTTATGTTTCGCCGAATTTCTATTTAACCAAATTCGCTGTTGCTCGATTTATTATTTAACCGAATTTACTATTGACCGAATTATTATTGAACCTAATTTTTATTTAGCCAAATTTATGTTTCGTTTAATTTTTAATGTAACCAGATTTATTTTAAATCGAATTATTATTTAACCGAATATGCTATTGACATATATAAGAAAGAATCCAATGTAACATATATATATATAAACGAGATAATTATTGATACTATAAAAGCAAGTAGAAGAAGCAAATCTTTTTTCTATTTTTTTTTGTTTTTTTTTTGCACAGAGAGAATATTCTGAAGCGCAGGAAATTGTTTACTTATGCAAGAGACGTGTAAACTTTTTAAATTCCTCATTTGCAGTGAGTTTTATGTTCCAAGCTTTGCTTAGTGCTCTGGGGGCCTCTCTCTCTGGACTCTCTTTGCAAATCGAGCTTAACGCCTCCTTAAGTTGCTTTCTATAAGCCAAGCATTAAAATTCCTGTTGGCGAGGGGAAAAAAATTTATGGTTACGTTAACCCAGTAGACCGTAAAATAGTAGCATCTATATTATCTTCTAACGTGAGAGGCTTTGATTGTCCTATAATAAAAGCTCTCTTTCTCTCTTTCTCTCTTTTATATTTATATATATATATAATAGTTTCACAGCCTAGGAAACTAATTTTACATTTTGCACCATTGGCAATATTACTCGTCTTACAATTTCTTCTACTTTCAATATATATATATAATATATAATATAATATATAATATCTCGTTTTCTTTTTTAATGTGCGATAATTATTATATACTTTTTTTTATTATAATTTCAAATTAAATTTATATATTTTCATAATTAAACTTTCGTTTAATTAAAAGAAATTTATTCTTGATTAGAAAGTTTATTAATTTTTTTTTTTGCATTTAATAATTATTTAATTCTTGGATTATAAAATTTATTACTATTAAATTATTAATAATTTTATTATATAATAATAATTTTATTATACAATGGTAATTTTATTATGCAATAATAATTTTATCCATAATAATAATATATAATTTTTCTGTTTAGTTATTGTATAATTACAATAAGATATTTAGGTTGATTGAAAGTTTTGTAATTTTATTTTTTGTTTTTTTTTGCAATAAATGTCATACGCTTTTGTTGGGGTATTATTATATTTGATTCTTTAGGTGTTATTCGATCCTAATCAAATGAAATTCATTTTCGTAATACCTCCTACGTGTAATTGATCCGCTCATATTTTCGCCCACCTGGTTTTAACTTTGACTCAGACCCCTTTTTGAAGTTTAAGATGTCAGGTGGAAGTCGTAATTCATATTTACTTTTTTTTATTTATTTATTTTTTTTTATTTCACAAATAAATCGTATAGAATTGAATAAATTGTTTAAAAAATTTAATTTAATTTTTAAACAAATAATTTTAGAAACAAAAAAAATTTCATTTAAATTAAAAAAAAATATTCTAATCAAATAATTGTCAACGATAATAATTTGTTAATAATTTATTAATAATTTAATTAATTTATAATTTATTAATAAGAATTTTTTGCGAAACTTTTTTTGTCAAAAATTCGTATTTTTAATAATAATTATTATCACATAAATAATATCTTAATTAATAATTATTTATTCTAATTTTCATAATAATTAAATCAATAATAAATTTTACGTACCCAATTTGATGTTACAATTAAGTTAAAATGTCCTGAATGAAAATCGGCGTGAAAATTTCACCTGAAAGAAAGCAAAAAAAGGATTTATTATAAAATTTACTTACAAAACTGATTGAAAATAATTTATTATTATTAATCAATAAATATCTCAGCTTCTTAGTTGTTTTTTTCAATTTATTATTTATTACAATTACTAGTATTAATATTATTATTATAATTTATTATAATTTATTATTATTATTATTATTATTATTATTATTTATTAACTATTTATTATTAATTAATGGGGTCCTAATTATTTATTTATTATTATTTGTTGTTTTATTATTTATTCTTCCATTTCTTTATTTTTTTTAGTTTTTCTCCATTAAATTTGTTTATTTTTTTTTTGCATTTATATTTTCTATTTATTAATATTACTTTTGTCAATAAATAATAAAGATTAAATACCTTTTTTTTTGATAAAAGGAGAAAATGAAAGAAATTTCTCACGGTTATTAATTTATGAATTCGCGGAAAACTATAAATAATTGGAAATAAAATAAAATCCAAAGTATTAACATTTGGCCTTTCCCATATACTATATATATTGGCCAAATAATTATTTCACTATAAATAGGAAACAATTTTGACACAAGCATTAATAAATAAAATCGAGTTTTAATCTCTTATGCGAGTCAAAGATAATACTTTGAATTTTTTTTCTCTTTCTCTCTCTCTCTCACGTCACTAATGGGTTATAGAGAACAAAAGTTCATTAGAGATGTAATGGTAAACTGCCAGCAATCTTGTAGGCTGTTTTTTTTTTTTTTTGGTTTTTTTTTTTGCCTCAACTGCGTGCAATGTGTTTTACCTTCGTGCACAGCAGGGATGTGCAAACATTAGCTCATCCTACTGAGAAAAGGGTTCACTGAAACCTTTCAAGTTAAAAAGATATTTGAGAGCGCGCGCGTCTTAACGATTTTCTTCCTGAAACTTATTATTTTATAAGAGTCAATACCAAAAAAAAAAAAAAAAAAAAAAAATATTGCAATTTTTCACCAGATAATTATCAAAATTATTATTCGATAATTATTTTTTTTATCAACCATAATGTATTATTATTATACTGTTATTATTACTATTATTTATTATTATTATTATTATTATTATTATTTTATTATTATTATTATTATTATTATTTTATTATTATTATATCGCCCAGTTATAAATTAAAATTATATTTTTATGCTTTTATTTAATAAAAATTGACGGGAATTTTATAAAAAAACAAATTTTTTTCTTCTTAATTGAAAAATAAATACTTCCTCTATATTGAAGAGGAAACAATAATGATTATAACATTAAATAAAATGCTCATAAGAGGAATTTTAGAATTTCTTTTTTTTTAAAAGAATTGATTTTCTTTTTTTCTAATTAATTAATTAAAAAGAAATTGACGGAACAATTATTAATGAATGTCAGGCCTATGACATCCGGGAAAAAGGATCGAACAAGTTATCTTATTAACTTTTACGTAAGGTAAAACATGGGAAATATTTATTACTGCCAGCATGAGTATAAAAAAAAAGAAAAAAAAAAAAAAAAAAAAGATAGAGGCAAGTCAGTAATATCAGAGAGAGGTGAAATAGTGAAATAGGCTTGTTTGAATTTAATCAACAATTTTTGCTCCTCCTGGGCAACTTATTAAAGATGAATAATCATCTTCTCATCTTGAGACACTTATATGAAATGTCCAATTGAATATATATATATATATATAGCCTCTTGCTATTATAGAAATTGAAAAGTGAAGTAATTTTTTTTCTATATATAAAGTTTTATCTTCTTCTTGGAATGTTGAGAAAAATTTTTTTTTTTTTGCAAAATTTATTTGTTCTGGACAATAATTTTTTTTTAAATCTAATTTTTTCGAATTTTATTTTTCTGCAAAAATAATTTTTTTCAAATCTAAATTTTTCCAATTTTATTTTTCTGCAAAAATAATTTTTTTTTATTTGCAAAATTAATTGTTCTCGACAATAATTTTTTTCAAATCTAATTTTTTCCAATTTTATTTTTCTCTGCAAAAATAATTTTTTTTTTTGCAAGAAAAAATAAAATTGGAAAATTTTAATGCATTTAAAAATGGAATTCTATTTTCACTTTGTGTCGCATCTAATTAGTTTGGGGCGAGGAATGGAATTTATATATGTATGTGAAATGAAAAATTACAAATCTGAGAACTACAGTTTGGAGAAACTGAGATGAAAATAGAACTTTGCGAAAGAAAGGAAGATTGTGTGTTGGAAATACAGCCAAACGACAATTAGTCCATTCATTGGAGCATCGTTGGCGAAATATTTCCCGCACAGCGTGCGTGCTTAATTACAAGTGCGTGTATATAAGTAGAAATAATAAATTTTTTAGTCACGTACAAATAGTACACAGACAGTTTACTGAACCAAAAGTTAAGTAATATAATGAAATAATTAACCTTTACAGCGAACTTGAAAATATTTTTCTATTATTAATGAAAAAAATTATAACATAAATTAATAAATAAATAAATAAATAAATAAATAAATAAATAAAAAAATAAATAAATAAATAAAAATAATTAATTTAAATAAAATAAATAAAAAAAAAATAAAAAGGAAAAATAAAGAAATGAAAGAATCTGTCAAAAGCGTCACAGAATAAAATCTTCTTGTTCTGTAATAATCGTTTTTTGACAATTTGTATATCTATGGCCTTTTTTTTTAAATGTCAGTTCTCAATTTGAAATTATTCTTCGCAATTTGCAAGAGACAAAAAGTCGTGACACTGTACTTTAAGTCTCCTTTCTCTTGTAATGGATTTTATAACTCTATAGATAAGTGAACACACGTAAAAATTCTCCTGGTACAGAGTATATATATATATATATATATGGAGAAAGTGTAACAGATAAAAAAAATTTTTTTTCTTTTTTTTTTTATTATTATTATAAAATGCGATTATCAATTGAATTTATTTTATCTGACGATAAAGGAGATAAATTTTGTCGATAAACCCCCGCGTTGCTTGTAAGTGCCCGAAATAAAAGTCCTTATTCTTCTTTTTTTCGAAAATAAAAATTTTTGATTTCCAGTAGAAAGAATAGAAAATCTTTATTTTTTCATAAATAACAAATTTATTTCTTTTATATAGAAAAAAAATAGAAAATCCAAATTCTTTTTTTTTCGTAATAAAAATTTTATTTCTAGTAGAAAAAATAGAAAATCCAAATTTATTTTTTCAAAAATAACAAATTTATTTCTTTTATATAGAAAAAATAGAAAATCCAATTTCTTTTTTTTTTCATAATAAAAATTTTATTTCTAGTAGAAAAAATAGAAAATCCAAATTTATTTTTTCAAAAATAACAAATTTATTTCTTTTATATAGAAAAAATAGAAAATCCAATTTCTTTTTTTTTTCATAATAAAAATTTTATTTCTAGTAGAAAAAATAGAAAATCCAATTTCTTTATTTTTCATAATAAAAATTTTATTTCTAGTAGAAAAAATTGAAAATCCAAATTTATTTTTTCAAAAATAACAAATTTATTTCTTTTATATAGAAAAAATAGAAAATCCAATTTCTTTTTTTTTCATAATAAAAATTTTATTTCTAGTAGAAAAAATAGAAAATCCAATTTCTTTTTTTTTCATAATAAAAATTTTATTTCTAGTAGAAAAAATTGAAAATCCAAATTTATTTTTTCAAAAATAACAAATTTATTTCTTTTATATAGAAAAAATAGAAAATCCAATTTCTTTTTTTTTCATAATAAAAATTTTATTTCTAGTAGAAAATCCAAATTTTCTTTCGAAATTTATTTCTACTATAGAAGAAAAAAAAAATTTATTTTTTTTGGGAAATAAAAAAATTCTAATAGAAATAAACTGGAAAAAAATCGTATCAAATTGCGCTCGAGGGGATTTCGAATTTTCGGTCTTAATAAAATTTGATTTTACATTATATTGAATATAATGAGTTTAAAAAAAAAAAAAAATTTTTGTATTAAAACGTATCGAAACTCTTAATTAACTGGTGGCCTCGACCCAGTAACTTATGCTTTGCATTAAAGTACGCCCTCGCCGCCCCCTGCAGATCGCTCTTGTAAAACGTTATAAAGAAAGTACAAAGCTGACAGCGAGTTGTTACGAACAAAGAGAAACCAACGCCTCTTGCGATTCGCTTTTAGCAAAGTAAATGATTGACGTTTAAAAAAATAAAAAAAAAAAAAAAGAGTGCGGTGAAGGTTAATTGTTAGAGGTGAAAGAAAAATTGTTTTTAAAAAAGTTCTTACGAGGCACTCAATATTCTCTCGATTCTTTAATCAATTCATTATATATTGGAGTTTCCTCCTTATAATTTTTTTTCTCTCAAATTAATTATTATTTAATAACGTCAAAATTTATCGCAATTAATTATAAAGCAAAAAAAAAATCACTGCACAAACAATAATAATTGATGAAATATAATAATTATTTTTAAAAAATTAATTAAATGGTGGCAATTAAAAATAAAATAATTTTTTTTTTCTACTAAATTAATTAAAAAACAAACAAAATTTGAAGATAATAATAATAATAATAATAATAATAATAGTAATAAAATAAGAAATAATATAAAGAATAAAATTATTATTATAAAATAAAATAATTTTTTTTTTCTACTAAATTAATTAAAAAACAAACAAAATTTGAAAATAATAATAATAATAATAATAATAGTAATAAAATAAAAAATAATATAAAGAATAAAATTATTATTATAAAATAAAATAATAATTTTTTTTTCCTACTAAAATTTAACAATTTCGGATTTTAGTAATTAGAATTTTTTCCCTTTTTTCAAATAAAAAAAAGAAAATTTAGCTGACGGGGCAAAAATTTGATTCTGTGTAAAAATAATGAAAGATAATATAACTCCCATCTCGCGAAATAAAAAAAAAAAAAAGGAAAAAATAAAAAAGTCTTTAAAATTCTTATAGTCAGTCATGATTTGTATCAAAGTCCATCCTTATGATGAATAACGAGTGTTTCTCGAAAG